AGAAGGGAGTTCCCCAGCCTGTAGGTATGCTGCTGGTTCTTCCTCCCCAGGTGCAACACCTTGCATTTGTCCGTATTGAAACCCATCCTGTTCTCATCTGCCCACCTCTGTAACCTGTCGAGATCTAGTTGTAGCCTGCCCTCTCTTCTAGTGTGCTCACTTCTCCTCACATCTTAGTGTCATCTGAGAACTTGAACAAGGTGCTTTTCACCCCCTCATTCAAATTGCCGATGAAGATATTGAATAGTGCAGGCCCGAGGACCGAGCCCTGGGGAACCACACTGCCCATATCTCTCCAGGTCAAAAATGACCCGTCCACCACCACTCTCTGGATGCGGCCCTCCAGCCAATTTGCGACCCATCTGACTGTCTAGGTGTCGACACCACAGTCGCCTATTTTTTTAATGAGGATGGGGTGAGAGTGTCGAAGGCCTTCCTAAAGTCCAGGAAGACTACATCCACTGTGACACCTGTGTCCAAGGTTTTTGTGACCTGGTCATAGATGGCCACCAGGTTGGTCTGACAGGACCTGCCTCTAACAAACTTGTGTTGATTGCCCCTAAGCATAAACTCCCCTGCTGGCCCCTCGCAGATGTGCTCCTGGATTATTTGCTCAAAAGGTAAGACTAACAGGCCTATGGTTTCCTGGGTCCTCTTTCCTCCCTTTTTTGAAAATGGGGACCACATTGGCCCTTTTCCAGTCATCAGGCATCTCACTAGAGCACCATGAGTGCTTGTAAAGCTGTGCCAGGGGTCCTGCAATGACTTCTGCCAGTTCCCTAAGCACTCTGGGGTGAAGGTAGTCAGGACCTGCTGATTTGAACACATCTAGTTCCTCCAGAAGTTCCCTGACTAGGTCCTCACTGACCCTGGGCCTGGATGCACCTCCCCTGAGTCCAGCCAGAATCCCAGTTGGGGGGTGGGGGATGTCCCTGCTCAGAAAAATGGAAGCAAAGAATCTGCTAAAGAGATTACCTTTGTCATCTGCTTTGTCAAGCGGTTCCTTCAGGTGTTACAGCAGTAACCTTCAGTGGTACCGGCCTCAGATCCCCTGCTGGGTGTATAGGATGTTAGCTTCTGGATTCCTCGTTGTTCAGTCAACTTGAGAATGTTGATCCTTGTTCTGTTCTCTTCCACCACTGAGAACAGCCTAGTTCCATCCTCTTTGGAACGACCCTTCAGGTACTTGAAGGCTGTCATTACATTCCCATTTAGCCTTCTTTTCACCACATAAATAAGCCTAGTTCCTTCAGCCTCCCCATATACGTCATGTTTCTCAGCCCTTTAACCATTTTCATTGTCCTCCACTAGACTCTCTCCAATTTGTTCACATCCTTTCTCTGTCCAAACTGGGCGCAAGATTCTAGATGTGGCCTCACCAGTGCTGAATAGAGGGGAATAATCATTTTCCTTGCTCTGTTGGCAACACTCCTACTAATGCAGCCCAGTATGATGTTAGCCACATTTGTAACAAGGGCACACTGTTGGTTCATATGTCCTTATAAATAACACCACCTGTAACAAAGTGCTTGTCCCAGGGGGTAGCTGCAATGTCCTCTGGTGGCCACTCAGCCCTAGCTTGGTCCACCCTTCTGCTCGCCAGCTTGTTCGCCTACCATGTATTGATGTTCTAATCCTGAAAGAAGGGAGGCTATCCCAGGACTTTCCAAGCCTAGTCTCACCCACTGGCTTGTGGTTTAATTATGTGTCTTGGGGGTACCCATATGTTTGTCAGTGTTGCTCCTAGGATTCCTTTTACCAGAGACCCCCAAGGATTGACACGGCCCCTCGTCCGATTTGGTATCAAATGAACTTTTAATAGTAATCCCTAGGCTTATTACAAGTATTCTTCCTTGCAATATGACCTGGCAAGCAGTTCCTTCAGGTGTTACAGCAGTGACCTTCAGTGGTACCGGCCTCCGATCCTCTGCTAGGTGTATGGGAAGTTAGTTTCTGGATTCCTCATTCTTCAAACAAGAAGTCCAAGGCTGCTCTTGTCTCCCCAGGGTGGCAACACAGAACACACACATGTTCCTTTGTTTGTCCATCACTTTTGTAAATTCTCTCATCCCAAATTGTCCAATCCCCTGGTACTATGCCAGTCACATTCCTTATAGGAAAACTGCTGTCCCTTGCTCGCCTACTGCCCAATCACAGCACACACATCTCCCAGTGCCACAGAAGGTGCTCTGTTCAATTTTGTTGCTTAGTTCTGGGAAGGCCTGGACTATGGCTAAAAGCCTTAGAATAACTCAGTTTGCCTGCTACAGTCAGGGCTCAGCTTTCCTAGCCTCAGCCCCCTTTTTTCTTACCTGGTTCCTGTAGCCTATGCCTACTGCACCAGACCTGGTTTCTGGGTCCCAGCCTTGTCTTGGCCCTCTGTGGGCCTTGTCTACCCTGCTCTGGGCTCCAGACTCACTGGCCCCACACACTGCCCTGCTCTGGGCTTGCCGCTTCCTCAGAATGCCTTGAGCCTGCCCCCAGGAGTTCACTGATGGGACCGCCAAAGACCACCCTTCACAGTCCCAAGCCCTAGCCACCAGTATGAACTATAACCAAAAGAGAAGCCCCTTAGCTATAACACAAATTCTCACTTCTGGACCCACCAACATCAACAAAAGGGAAAACAGGACACTGCCACTTTAAAAAGGAAAACCTTTTCCCACTTG